ACTTAAACAACTTACAAGCCTCAAATACATGCTCTATTGAGCTAATATCTTCAAAGACAAGATGAATTCATGGACTTAACATAAATATGTGCATGCATGTGACAATTTTCCATGGAATCAACTCAAAATTCAATAATATAGGCATGTATGCATGAATTCAGCTATAATTCGACATGTTAGAACTAAATCATGACTTGGCTCCTCAATTAGACATGAACCATGCAAGAATCAACTTAAACACAACAATGAGAGGTTAAATCTCCTTACCTAAGTCTTGAGTTTAAGGTGTAGGAGCTTAATTATGTAATCAACCTTCAATTTCTTTAATTCTCTAAGCAAAACACAAGAAGAAATTCAATTCCTCTCCCTTTCTCTCTCTTGGTCGGCTAAGGCAAGGGAGATGAGCTGATGAAATGTTTGCCTAAGTGTATAATAAGGCTCAAATATAGTTCATGAGTGGCCCACTCACAATGGCAAAGTTGTAGATAAGCTTAACTCTTTAATTAGCTTTACTTAATCTAGTTTAATCATACCAAATCAAATTTCAGATAAATATGCCATAAAATCACATAAATTATGATGATCGTAAAACACTAATCGATCTCCGGTTCAGCCGCCGATAAGGCCTTCAATTCGCAATTTAAACATAAAACATGAACAGATAATCAAACAGTCAAATAGATAGATAATGGATTTAAACAAATACAGTCAATCAATCAGTTTCAGATTTCAGTCAGTCAGTTGTATTTCAATCAGTTCAATTACTTTTCATAATCAGTCTCAGTTTAGCAGTAATCGGTAGTTTATCAGTAATCAGTGGTGAGGGTTGTTACAGGTTCGACGGTTAGAAATGCAGTTCGACGGTTGTCATTGAGAAGTATAAATAGCAGAGAAGGCCCCAGAAAGTGGCCCCAGACTCAAATCTAAAAAACCAGTTTTATCTACTTTATTTTTCCTTCTAGTTTTTACATTTCTTATTCTTTACATTTCTGTACTTTAAATTACTGCACTACATTTCGTTCATAGGAGTAGTTTCAAGTAATTTGTTGTTATAAACCTCTACGAGACTAATTTGGATCTTTGTAAGTCTTCCATTTTACTTAATGAAATGCTACAATTATTCTTTATTTAATCATTGTTTACTTAATTCTCCTAAACAAAGCCACCAGTAAATGTGAAGCCCCTGAAAAATATTTTCTCTTTAAAAACCCTAATGTTTAAAGTATTTTCTTAAAGCCCTTAGTTACTTGAATTATTTCGAATCTTGTCGGTTAGCATTTTTTTTTATCAAAACCGAAATATCCTAGCTGGATTAAGTTCCTTAGCCTAATTTAATTAAATTCTACATAAGTAAGGGTCCAATACATGAATTTAACTTCAAGCTCTCACTTCTTTATTTAAATTCAAAATTTTTCCAAAACTAGTACATGTACCTTATACTATAAGTACCATCAATTAATTGAGATCTATATAAATATATACATTGAGGAATGTGCTCCTAGTACCTAGATTGATTAAAAAAAATGGCCCCATCACCCTTCTCAATGGCCGGCCACCCTAGAGAGAAGTGAGAAGCCTATTTTCAAGATTTATAATCATGGTATTCTAGAAACCAAAAAAAAAAAACTATTCAACTAGGAATTAATTAGGTGTTGCCTAATCCCAAGGTTGAGCTCCCTAATCACTCCTTATTCATTGAACTTTCCAAGGTTAAGCTCCCTAATCACTCCTAATTCATTGACCCCCAAGTAAATCATAGCTTGTCCATTCAATTCCAACTAGTGGGCTTCTATGTCATTTTACACCAAATTTGCCTATAAATATCACCACTCCCTAGCATGGCAAACATAAGCATCACACTCACACACACACTTTCGGCTAGAGGAAGAGGAAGAGGAAGTGAGAAGAGAGCCATCTTGTTCAAAGCTTAGCAAGTAAGCCACAACACAACCTTCTCTTCATTTTCCTTTTTCAAATACATGTTCTTAAGGGTTCTAAATATTGTTTTCAAATGTGTCATTGATATATGTTAATTAGCATGTTTTCATCATAAAAGAGACAAAAATTTTCCCTTAGTGGATCCGTTTTCCCATAAATCTTCTTATTTCGGGTATTGTACGTTAGAATCTGTTTTTGCAACCCACTTTCAAAAATTCTAGCAAAATGTATAAAATTATTCTGGACCTCTATTTTATGTCAAAATCTTCCTTAAGGAGTTAGCTTTCAACTAAAATTAGTTTCATGGAAAAACAGTAATTAGTTTGCAAGAAAATCAAATTTTCGTAACGATCGATGAATTTGGACAGCGCTGGAGTGTTTTCTAAATAACTTAAAATCTAGAAAAGATATCCCATTTCCGAAATATGTTCTGGAAACTAGATTAGATTCTCTACGAACCATAGGAAGGCCGAGTCCGGTAAAAATTCTAAAATAGCCTTTCTATTCTAATCCTTATGTGATATCGAATCTGAAAATCTTGTTATGCATAGGTGTTTTATGCTCTTGTGTTCATGAAAATGTTTATTAGCGTATGATCATATCTTGGCATGATGTTGTACATATTATGGTTGTGTTTTTATTCTCTTTCATCTTAATGATGCATGCTTATGTGGATATTATTATCTTGTTAAGATTGGTTTAACCTTATTTTAAAAACATTTAACTCAACGGGAAACTTAATTGGGATGATATTGGGTTTTCGATCACTTGAGTAATGATGATAATGTGTGATGTGTGGATTGTTGGGATGCGTTTCCTACTTGGAAGTTAAAGTCTTGCGCAAGTGGTTTTTCGGAACCCTTGAATGGAGTGGTTGTATTCGGACCCTAGGTGGTTTGGTATGAAGAGGGATTTGGGCAAGGCCCATTATTACTGTCTCTTTTGAGGCCCTGCGGTTGGTGCTACGCGGTATATAACCGATGGTAGGCATCCAAGGTTAGTTCTGCAACAAAGCAGCAAAAGAGGGGACATACCGAATAATTCGAATCCGATTCTTGTGGTTGGGAGGACGAAATCTCTTTGGGGGATTTCTAGTTTACTAACATCTAACTTGTAACTCTTTGTTTATCTATTTTGAGTATCATGCTTTACTACTTATTGTATATTTGAGATTGTGTATTGGACTGGAAAAAAAGACGGGATGTGTATGTGTTTACTAGGCATTCAAAGCTCACGGCGTATCATGTCAGGTGACGAAGAGGAACTTATAGCTGGAGACGAAGAGCCTGAAACCTTCGAAGACTTTTGGCTATCTTAATAAAGTTAGAAATTTCCTTTTGATGTTTTGTAAGACTCATGTGAAGATTTAAATTTTCTTGGGATGTAATGTAACGGAATAAGCTTTTGAATTAAGGATATTCGTGGTTGTTATGTATTTATATTCTATGTATATGTATGAACCTTATCGTTGCTTATGAGACCTTGTGTCAATGCCTTTTAAGATCTGTCAAAAGGGTAGTGCGCTGCCTAAGAAAGTCGGACTTAGAAGGGAGGCTAATTTGACTCTTCCGGCGAACTGGGATCTTACTTGGTTATTGACCTCAGGACTCATTCGTGATTCTTCCTTGACTACAACCAATAGTTTAGAATCGGGACGTCACAGCAAAAGTCTGTTTCGTTAAGGCTGAAAGAACTAAAACACAATCGTCTAATAATTGGTTAGCAATTAATATTCTGTAAGGACTGATTGATCCTTGCTGGCACGCTCACAATTACAACAATAACCTTCGAAAGCCAAAAAAACCAACAATTTCTCATAAAAAATAATAATAATATATAGTTCATTTAAGGTTTTTTTATTTTTAAAAAAATAAAAAAAAAAAAAATCTAAGACTATAACTGTAAATTAACATATCCATAGCAGAAACTGATAATCAGAAGGAATGGGTGAACAACTTGTCAGAATCAACTTTTTTGAGTTAAAATAAGTTGTTAGAATCAGAAGCTGTTTGAAATAAGTTTAACCAAACAGTTCAAAATAATTTTTCTAAAACTAAAAGTTATAAGTAGCTCAAAAAAACCCAAACAAACACCCCCTATGAGTTTAGATCCTTGAAAATTTGAACTATTTGTATTTTAATATTTATCGAGTACATCATATTTGTAAAAATTAAGTCGATCGGATATAAAAAATCACGTGTTCAGATCATCAAACTAAAAATTGTTTTATTAAAAAATAAAACTGTTTATTAATTTTTTTAATTTGATGATCGAAACACATAGTTTTTTATATTCGTTCTATTTAATTTTTTACAAGTATGACATATGTAATAAATTTTAAAATATAAACTATTCAAATTATTAAAATTGTCTAAAAATAGTTCCAATGGCCCACCAAATAGACCAAATAGATTACAGTGATAATCTAGAGCTCTAAAAGCAGAGCTCTACTAAGCAACTAAGCAGGTAGGTTCTCAACAAAAAAAAAAAAAAAAATTCAAGCTAAAACATCATATCAAAATAGACCCTACATAACTGTCACATCATTAGAGCATACTCTTAAACATTTTTTAATAGATTATACTGAAGTGTTTGAGAGCTCTAAATAATAGAACACTAATAGCTCTAATGAGGTGAAAATGTCAAAAAAAATAAAAAATAAGAGAGACACACGTCACATCATCCTTAGTGATTGGTATTTGGTATCACTAGTTTAGTACCACTAAACCACTATTAATTAGGTGAAAATTAAAAAAAAACAAAACACAGCAACACTGTATCAGTGGGTGAGGTCTACTATCACATCATTAGTACTATCACTAATTAGTGGTCTCATGTATTTCTCATTACCTCAGGAGAGAAATCGACTCATTAGTGCCTTTTCGAGTACCCTTTTTAGTGCTTCCAAACAATTTTTTTGTTTTTTTTTATTATAGTCTTTCGTTCGAATAACAGGATATTTTGATAATTTGATTTCGACACGAGCGACACATGGGAGGGTTAGATATGTGGTATGATGTGAGAATTTTCTGGAAAAAAAAAAAAAAAAAACTAACTGTCTAATAAAGTTAGTGAGAGAGACGGAAAGAAAGATAGTGAGAGAGACGGAAAGAAAGAGAGAGAGAGTGAACCAAGAAGAAGCCAGCCACCCCACCCCCTTCTCTCTCTAAACAAAACTTTGGTGAATTCATCATCATCTCTTTCACCTTCCAAGACTAGGGTTTCAAATCCAACCTTTCTCATTCCATTGTCTGTGTCTGTCTTCAAATTCAGTCCAACACAAGCCCAAAAAAACAACAAAAAATGAATTATTTCCATATCTTCTTGATCACATTGCTCCCAATTTGGGGACTCAACAGCTGCAACGCTCGCATCTTCACCTTAGAAATGCACCACCGGTTCTCTGAACCAGTGAAGAAATGGTCGGAGACCGCCGGAAACTTCTTTCCGGTCGGAAATTGGCCGGAAAAAGGAAGCATTGAGTACTACGCTCAATTGGCCGACCACGACCGTCTCCGCCGAGGCCGCCGTCTCTCGGAATCGGACTCGTCCCTCACCTTCTCCGATGGAAACTCGACTTTTCGCATCAGCTCTTTGGGATTGTATGGTTTTTTTTTTGTTGTTGTTGTTGTTGTTTACTATTCGCCCAATTTTGTTCTTGAGTTAGGGTTTTTCCTTGATTTGATTTCGTATTGATCTTTTGTAGTTTGCATTACACGACTGTTTCGTTGGGGACGCCTGGTATGAAGTTTCTGGTGGCGCTTGACACTGGGAGTGACCTGTTTTGGGTGCCCTGTGATTGCAACAAATGTGCTCCCAATGAAGACACGCCTTATAGCTCTGTATGTTCTTCTATTGCTCATATATTTACCTCTTCTGTGAATTTTTGGGGTTTTAGGCTCTTTTTTTCTTCTCTAATTTTTGCCAATGAAAAATTTAGGCTCCGTTTTCGACGTAATTTTACACAAATTATTATTATTGTTTTTAAATTGATTTTACACAGAAAAAATATTTTTACTTTTGTTTTTCCATGTTTGGTTGACAATTGAAAAAAAAATGTTTTATTGACTAAAAGAGAAATTTTGATTCAATATAGTGTTAGACGTTTTAGTGAGTTAAAATATTTATTTGAAAAGACTAGGGGTGTGTTTGGTGTGCTTTTGGGAGAGTGATTTTAAAAAAAAAAGATTAGGGAGAATTTAGAAATTTTTTTGGTTTGTTTGGTTGTATATTTTAAAAGTAATTTTGGAATTTGAGAGTGTAGGATGATTTGATATTTTGTTGTAATTGAATAGATGTGTGTGAGAAAAAAAATGATTGAGAATGAGAGAGGAGGGAGAAAAGTGATTGATTGATGGGTAAGAGAAAATAATTTTGGAAATTTTTTTAGAAAAATCACAAACCAAACAAAATTTTAGAAAAAAATTTCAAAAACAACTCTCTCAAAAGCTAACCAAACAAGCCCTAAGGATGTTGAAAATATAGTCAGTGAGAGCCAGTTTACGAATTTTTTAAAAGCAAGTCATTTTTGAAAAAATGATAAAAAATATTTTAATTAAAACATATTTTACTTGCTTTTTGTTCAACTAAATAATAAAAAATGAATAAAATATTTTTTATAAAAACTTTTACATCAAAAAAAACTTATTGAATTTTGTAACACATACATGTTGGTATGATGAAATGGTCATAGTGGTTCTTATTTCGAAAATGTCTAGTTCAGTAAACCCCATTAACCATGGCAAGTTGGGGTTACTGGTTCAAATATTGGTAAGATAATGCCACATTTTCCTTGGCCTAGAGGTAAGTAGGGTTGTAAAACGAACCTAGTTACTCAAGCTCAACTTATGTTTGGTTTGTTTAAAAACTCATTTGAGATTAACTCATTGTGGACACAAGCTAAGTTTTAAATGAAATTTTCGAATCAAGCTTGAATAACCTACTACTTGGCTCGATAAACCTATATCCAAGTAAAATACAAAAATAAAAAACTATGTTGTTTGAGCTCAGCTCAGGTTCAGTTGTTTCAAATCAAATTGTTATGTAAACAAGTAAGCTTAGGTACATTATGAAGTTCGTTAAGTTTTCAAGCCAAGTTTTTGTCTTAGCTCAGCTCATATATGGCCTTAGAAGCTATGAAGCATGGACACGGACACAGATACAGACATCGGACATGGCAATTTTCAAAAAATAGGGACACAGACATGGACACGGTGGAAGGCACGGCGATTTTTTTTATTTTTTATTTTATATATTTTTTTGTGTTATGTAGATTCATATTACATTCATCCTAAATTAAAATTAACAAACTCTAACATAGTAACATTAATTCAATAAATATAATCACTACATTTAAACAAATTAATAGATCATCCATTCACAAAAAAGTCATAATAAACGATAACAATAACTAAGATGAGAAGGGGAAAACATCCAACAATATTTTTCAAAAAAGTACTAAATAAGAGGGGGGGGGGGGAAATGAGCCCCGCTGTGTCCCGATATGGACACACGTGTCCCCGCCATGTCCCCTACAAAAAAATCATTAAATTAAAGGGACACGCCATCTGGCGTGTTCCGTACGTGTCAACAATGTGTCCCCGGCATGTCCGCGTGTCGTACACTGCCACAACACTGATTTTGAAGTGTCCATGCTTCATAGCTTAGAAGTAATGTGTGTAAGCACCATGGAGCCAATGTGAGGTCAGATTTTATTTTATGTCTAAAAGAGAAGCAAGGTGAAAAAAATCAGACATAGACTGTGTTTTGTGACTACCATAACATCTGGATTGTTCCTATCAAGTACAGGTTGAAATTTGTCAATTAGACTATTCATCGTATGGCTGCATGTAAAATCGATGTTCATATTAATCATATAAACGAGAAATATATAAACTTTCCAACAATATGAGTTTTCAGCATCTTGTTGGGAAGTTTATATAATCTGTTTTTTGTGCATTTTTATGTCTGTGATAAGTTGTTTTTGTGCATATTTATAAAACAGTGAGAGTAATAACAAGTCAATCCAACAAAATTAATTGTCTTTGAGAATGCACTTGTCATCATAATGTGTTTTAATTAGCTATAAAAAGGTACTTCAGTCTCACTCTTGATTTGAGCCATCGAGATCATGAGAGCCACATGCATTAGAAACCTGTCATGCTCTTACTTCATTTCTCTAGTCCCCGCTTTCCTTCTCTTTTCAAACATGTATTCAACGGGGATAACAGATTCTAGTTAAGGGAGATCTTTTGCCCCCTTTCTTCCTCTAAGCAACCACAATAAAGTAAAGAATGTGATTTCTTTTCTATGGACTCCACCCATGAGAGAGAAACCAATTAAAAGAGAATGGAAAAGGACGACGAGGAAGGATGCAAGTAACTAATGCATGCATCCTTAGCAAGAATGTGATTTTGAATATCCCTTAGATTTGCTACGTCCCTACAATGGTCAGAGATGTGTGTAAGCTCCACTTTGAAGTGGTTAATTGTTGCATGTGGTTCAATGGTTGATAAGAAAAACAGCTATTGGGTTAAGGTTGGGATTGCTTCTTGCAGATTGACTCCAAGTATTCCATCTAATAAAATTTTTGGTAGATTCTCTGGTTTGTCGCAATCAGAATTCACAGACATGTTGCCAAAGGTTGATGAAATTTCACCATTCAGCCTTCCAACCCCCGTAGTAGTGGGAATCTGCACACACACAACGACCCCCTGTCCAATATTTTACCAAAGGTTGGAGGAAGAAACATTAATTTATAGGAGAGGATTTGGGAGTAGGTGAGTGTGTGTGGTAGGTGTAGGAAAGTAGGTGAAGTAGGTTATGGTAAATTCTAACAGAAACATTAATTGGAGAATCATTATATCAATCGATTAAAACATATCTGAAATTGGATCAATGTATGACATTAATTTCTGACAGATAAATGGATACGGACATGAACAGTAATATTAGGTGCTTGAGTCGGCAAATCCCACATAGAATTCATCTCTCATTATTTTATTCTTGAATTTATTTTGCTACCCATGCAATTATTTTCGACTGAATCATCCTATCATGGTAGGATTTTGAGCTTAGCATATACAACCCTCAAGGGTCATCAACTAGCAAAAAAGTCACTTGCAACAATAGTCTGTGTGCACACCGTAATAGATGCCTTGGAACCTTCAGCCATTGCCCTTACGCAGTGTCATATATTTCATCTGAAACTTCAACGTCGGGAATATTGGTGGAGGATATTCTGCACTTGAAAACAGAAGATAGCGATCAAGAATTAGTTGAGGCGCACATCGTATTTGGGTGAGTTGCCACTTTACTTAGTATGACTAATTGGAGCACTTTATTCCAGCACCATTCTTTTTTACCACAGTATTAATATAGCATTTGCCCCAAATTTTACACATCTTATCTTTAACGAGTTATAATAAGAAGCATGTTAGGGATATTTATAGACGAGTCCATTTTATTGTCTTTCTCTTAATCATATCTAGGTTGACATAAAAGTGTAGTTGAATTCTGCAGCTGTGGACAGGTTCAAACTGGTTCATTTCTAGATGTTGCAGCTCCAAATGGTTTATTTGGGCTTGGAATGGAGAAGATATCAGTTCCTAGCATTTTGTCCAGTGAAGGTTATATAGCTGATTCTTTCTCTATGTGCTTTGGACATGATGGAACTGGAAGGATTAATTTTGGGGATAAGGGTAGCCTTGACCAGGGAGAAACCCCATTTAATCTGAACCAGCTACAGTAAGTGGTAATTTCTCACTTATTAGATGCTTAAATTTAGTTTTGGAGTTGTTTACTTTCTATTTCGTATTTTGCTCTTTAGTCTTTACCTTTCTTATTTTGAGTCTCTTGTCTAAATTTATTTGCAGTCCAACCTATAATATAACTGTAACTCAGACTCGTGTGGGAACTACTCTCATTGACTTGGAGTTGACAGCTCTCTTTGATTCTGGGACCTCTTTCACATACCTGCTGGACCCAACCTATACAAGGTTCTCAGAGAGTGTAAGCACTCAACATTATGAAAAATTAGGGTTTTATTTTTTCTAAACAACCATCTCTAAAACATGGAAATTTTTTTGTTATTCTGCAGTTTCACTCACAAGTACAAGATAGGCGGCGTCCGCCTGATCCAAGGATCCCTTTTGAATATTGTTACGATATGAGGTACATTTCAAATCTTCTCATTATATTTGTGCAGTTTCTAGCTCTTAATCTAATTTATTTTTCTTTCTGATGAGCAGTCCAGATGCAAATACTAGTTTGGTACCTACTGTGGGTCTAACTATGAACGGGGGAGGCCAACTTGCTGTCTATGATCCCATAATTGTCATCTCCACGCAGGTAAATTATGTCCAAGATTATATATGTACTGTAAAATCTTTTGTTATGTTTTATTATTTTCCTACTTGTACAAATTTGTTTTATGGTTAATGATTTGCAGCATGATCTTGTATATTGCCTGGCTATTGTCAAGAGTGCAGAACTCAATATAATTGGACGTAAGTTTTCTTTGCAAGTTATATATGTTTACTATGTCTACGCTGTGCACAGAATACGCATGGAAGGAGTACATGACAGCAAATTTCTTAACCCCAAATGCAAGTGCATGAATGCTCATGGGCCCAAAATCCTATTTAAATCTTAGATTTGACAGAGAATCTAATTTGTGTCGGGCATACAACATAGAAAATTTGAAGAAAAAACTGGTAGTAATGGAGAGCCTAATTAGTTTATGGTTGCCTACTTTTAATAGTTTGTCCATCACTATCAAGAATTTGATTGCTTTAATTTAGTTTACCTCCTAGCAAAAACTTGTTTTGTGGGCATACTAGTGCTACTTGATTGTGGCATTGGGCATGAAAAAATCAATGCTTAAGTTGTATGGAAACAAAATTGAAGCTTGATCTTTACCTTGAAATTTGTTCATAGAATAATGGAAGCTTGGTAAGACACGATGAAGAAGTGCACATGCTTAAAAGATTGGTTGAAAACTAATGAAATACAAGTATCAGCAAGGTTTATGTTTGTGATTTATTGTATTAAAAATCCTTAGGCTGCTTTAGTGCCTAACGCTCCATGATCAAAGAAAATGGTGATCATTAGACATCGCTTCAGTAAAGAAATGTAGCTCTTTTGAACTCAATAAGAGATCTAAAGTTAACTAATTGAAAAATCTCTGTTGCATTTACTCATGTAATATGATTGCTTATGCTGAGATTATTGATTGTTGTTGCAGAAAACTTTATGACTGGGTACCGCGTGGTATTTGACAGAGAAAAACTCATACTTGGCTGGAAGAAGTCCAGTTGTAAGTGTGTTCCATTGCTTGAGTAATAGAATTCCTCCGAGCTTACACATGAAAGTCGCATTTCTAACAGAACTATTTGACCCTTATGCAGGTTATGACATAGAGGATTCTAATGCTGTTCCAGCAAAGTCGCACAACTCTACCACTGCTCCTCCAGCTCTTGCCGCTGGACTAGGTAATTACCTGACTCCAAATTCAACAGAAGATAGCAGGAATTATTCACAAAATTCAGTTGCATCACCATCTTACGGGGGACACCCTTCTGACTTGACTTGTTCTTGCTTTGCATTTTTCTTCATATTGTTTTTGTTTTTGTAGCTAATCTGGAATCCTCATTTCAACACACCGGTTGTAGTTACATATAGGCCCGGTTTTTTAGCTTATTCTGTTGTTTTAGATACTGATGAAAACCCTCCTTACCCAGATTTATGCTCTTGGACACACCAGAATATGTTTGCCTCTTGTTAATATTGTAAATAGGCATTCACGCGACAATACACCAATGTATGACTTTTCTTTGCTTCACCCATACTTCTAGTATGTGATCCATCAAATGAAGGATAGACATCAATTTTTTTTATTTTGTGTAATGAATTCCATGGTGAAGAGTTCCTGTTGCATCGTGTTTTTCTGTAGCTTCAAATATTAAAAGTAAGGAGGGTGATAGTTGACAATTGAGATTATTATAAATTAAGTTTTGAAGTTAAATTTTAACAATCTATTACTGGATTCAATTCAACTTATTTACAATCTCATGCAACGATTGAGCAAAAGTTCAAATCAAAAGTAATATCACTTCACACATTCACATTGTTAAATAGTTATATCCGAATAATAGGTTCCATATTGATTGTGGTGAACTAATATCATCTGTTAATGGAAGCATAAAATTATTATTATATTCAACTTACATCACATAGTCGTATCAATCAATAAATAACTTCAATGAAATTGTGCGGTGATCGCTTGATCAGTTAAATAAGAAATAAAATTGACCATATTGATCAATGAGGTATGGGGACCCAACATTTATTATTCCACCTAATTGCTTTTATGGAAGGTGGTAATAATTTTTCGTATTGAAGAGAAGTATATAAAGTGCATTAAACTACTATTATGGTGCTCAGATTCAGATACTATTAACTTAAAATAACATTATTTGATGATCCCATAAAATATTAGTATTTAATGATATAATTAGCACTGTATAATACAGCATAATACTCAAATGCATCCTAAAGTTATTTTTTGATAAAATGTAATTTGTATATTTTCATTCTTGATAAATTTTGGGCACAATTAAGGAAAGTATTAAAGGAAAATGTCTCGTAGCTCAAATTTTGTGGCTCAAAAGTGGCTCAAATGGCCAAAACGACGCCGTTTTGGCCATTTGGTAATAATTTTTCGTATTGAAGAGAAGTATATAAAGTGCATTAAACTACTATTATGGTGCTCAGATTCAGATACTATTAACTTAAAATAACATTATTTGATGATCCCATAAAATATTAGTATTTAATGATATAGTTAGCACTGTATAATACAGCATAATACTCAAATGCATCCTAAAGTTATTTTTTGATAAAATGTAATTTGTATATTTTCATTCTTGATGAATTTTGGGCACAATTAAGGAAAGTATTAAAATATGACTTAAAGTTTTTTATTTCTTTTTTATTCAATGGGAGAGTAAATTACAAATATAAGAAATATTTATATAATCAAACAAACTATTAACTCATGTTTGCTAGAAAGTCAGCACAACTAATATACCAAGTCTAAGCTTAATAACTACTAACAATTACATATAATCCTACTAGCGATAACCCGTGCTATGCACGGGCAAGTAACAAAAAATGGTAAATAATGTTGAACATGCTAAAAATTAACAATTAAATACTATGATGTTAATTTAGATGGGTATTGAAATAATATATTTAGTGATCTTACTATATTTAATTAAATAAATTTTAGAAGAAAAAAAAGTTTAATTGAAAATTAAGAGTAAGAGTGGATTCTGTAAATATAAGATATAGATAAAAACAAATTAAGTTTAAATTTGAAGATAAACTATAAATATATATATATATATATATGTATATAAAAGAAAATTAGATAAATCCTAGAAAAATGAAGTAGAGAGAAATTCAGTAATTGAAAAAAAAAAGTTAAAATTTAAAATTAAAAAATAAGACAAACTTGAAAAGAAAAATAAAATTTAATATAACTCTAATAACAAAAGAACTGGAGAGGGTAATAATTAAAAAATTAGATAAGAGTGAAATGTCACTTATAATTTCTTAAAATTTGTAAAAAAAAAAAACTAAAATAAAATCGAGGTAGTATGTTAAAAATCAGATAAGATTTAAGTGCCACTTATAATTTTTTAAAATTTAAATTTTGTGTAGTTAAAAAATAAAATTTTTAAAGTTGATTGGCTTAGAAGCTGTATGGTTTGGAGCTGGAGTAGAAGTATGTCAATTGTTTTTGATTTGCTGTATTGGTGTTCTCTTTTGGATTTTGGCTGATCTTGATTGGCTTCTTGCCAATCTTGGGTAAAGTCCATGCATATGATTGTGCTTTTTTCGCGGTGCCAACCTAGAAGTATGTTATCTTATTATACAAATTTTAACTTTATTTTTAACAGTTTTTGTATTCTAAAGCTAGATAAATTATACGAATATAGAAAGAGAAACTTAGATAAATTGCAAAAGTAAAAGAGAGAGAAAAAAATACAATATGAGATTTAAAACATATGCTTCTTTTCACATAAGATGCCAAAAAATCTTGCATAATTGGTTAAATCACCCGTTTAATTTCTCTACAACGTTATTTTTGTTCTCCAATCTTTTTGCCTAATTTCATATTGTCATAGAAGTTAGGTTTTGAGATTTATAAATTTATTTATTTATTTATTTCAAATATCCTTGGGTAAGACATAAATTGATGAAGAAATTTGAATTAGAGTCAAACTCATCTTTTATCTTTAAATATTTTGAAAATCTTTTATCTTTAAATATTTTGAAAATCTTTTATATCCATGCCATAAGTAATCAAAAAGTGAAATAAAAAATATAAAAAAAAAAGATAAGAAAAAATAGGAAAATAGGAAAATAGAATGAGAGAAGAATGGATGTGCCACGTAAGAAAGAAGTTCATGAGATGTTAGGATTGAGAGTTTGAAATTTTTTAAGAGACCACTACATTTGCTTATATATATAATAATATAGAAGTATAGATAACGTGGGACAAATAAACCACAACCATAAAGGTGAGATATTGGACAAGGAGTCCAATCTCACCCTTTAATCCCTTCAAAAAAAAAAAAAAAAAAAAAAAAAAAAAAAAAAAAACCTCCACACCTCATGGCACTAGACCAAGTTCCTTAACTTTCTAATTTTATGTTAATATTGGTTTATGGTATGTTGGGGAACTTGGGTTTGTGATTTTTTTTTGTTAAAATAGTCAATAAAGATAAAATAGATTAAAATAGTTAATAAAACAAAAGATTACATCCAAATTAGGTATGTAAATGGATCGGATTCAGATCCGATTTGTCAAAATATGAATCCGATTAAGACAACCCCAAATTCGATCCAAATCCGTTTAGCCCAGATCTGATTATAGATCACGCGGATTCGAATCCGATGATTTCGGATATCTTATCGAATAATCTGATCTGATCCATTTATTTATTTATTGAGCTACAATTTTATATAATTTGATTTATTTATTTTTTTCATGTTGTATTTTCTTCATTCAAATTGAAAATAATCGGATCATATTATTGAATTTTTACATATTCAATCTGTTTAATAAACGGATAAAGTGGATTCAGATTATTGGATTATTGAATCGGTTTTTTTTAAATAGATTCGAATTTTTCGGGTCGGATTCGGATTAAATCCGATCTATTAACAATCCTAATTCAAATCATAATCATTTCACATGTGTTCTCACAATCATTAAATCAACTATAAACAAAAGCAACTATCATTCAAACATAATTTTTTTTAGATAGGCTAAACAAGCCAAATAGCAAAAAAAATCAATTAAAATAACCAAATTCCTAAACGGACCAAATAGTTGTTCAATTTGCCCTCTCTAAATTTAAATATACATACTCTTCTTTTTTTTTCCCCTTTATCTTAAAATGATTCCTGTAATTGGCACTATTCAAATGCAGTCGTGCTTCCGACCCCCAGCTGGGAGCACCCCCAGTGTCACGTGTCGGCCTGGGGTTGGCTGGAAGAAAAAAAAAAAAAAAACTGGAAAAAAAAAAAAAAAAAAAAACTACTTTTTTTTTTTGGCCAATCACGGACGACCCCCAGCACCCCTGCTGGGGTCGGAGGCTTTATTCATTCAAATGTTTATTGTATGAGGAAATCTCATATGTGATGTTTTAAACTCTGCTTTTATTTTCTACTATTTTTTATAATGTTTTCTAATTTGTTCCTATTGGTATTTTTTTTTTAAATTTTGTGATGAATATATATACAAATATACAGAATAATTACTTAGTGTTTGATACAATTTCTCAATAAAATGCTTTACTTTTCTTTAGAGATGATTATATCACAGTTTAAATTGAGGCATGGTAGGAATGGAGGTTAAGGCCTCGTTTGGGAACAGGTTAATTTAGTAACTTTTTGGCTATTTGGCTAAAAAGGTAGGTAAAAAAAACTTGCATGTTTGGGGTGACTTTTTGGCTAATTACGAAAAGATGTGCAAAAAGTAGAGAGAAAAGAGAATCTTTGACTTTTTAGTATAGGTTGTTGACTTTTTGACTAATTTAGTAACTTTTTGGCTAATTGGCTAAAATAGCCTCTTGCCAAACAAGGCCTAAGTTTGTTAGGATTGAAGCACAGCGGGATGGCGAGGTAGGAACACTATTGTAGACATAACATTTTATTTACTATTGTTCTCTCTAAACTAAGATCAAGGCCAAGTTTGGCATGTCACAAAAAAGATAAAAAGTTAAAAAGTTACTCAAAAAGTTAAAAAGTTATCACCATTTACCAAAAAAAATATTAAAAAATTAATTTTACACACAAAATTACAACACATCAATCTGACAGCTCCAGATCTATGTTGCGTTGTGTAACAAAAATTGAACAATTGGGGTACAATTTTAACACACTGTTGTTCGGCCCGTGGAGACCCATCACGGGTCCCATTTTGATAATCTGAACCATTCAATGTGTAGAAATTGTCGAGTACTATATGTTTGTAAAAAATCACATTGATCGGATATCAATAACTACATGATCAAATCAGTTTTGCATAAAAAAATAAAGGTGTTATAATTAACGGTTGGAAAAAAATAAAACTGATCAGATAGCTATCGATATCTGATCAACGTAAGTTTTTACAAGCACATAGTACTCGACGAGTTCTACATATTGAACGGTTCTGATTATCAAAACGGAACCCGTGATGGCCCCCACGAGCCGAACAGCACCGTCCAGTGTAATGCCCAAAAAGTAGTCAATTACTTCTTAGCATCTATTCCACCTTTACATACATGACAGTCGTACAACTCACACTCTAATCTTCTCCTACACGCTAATTTATACAATTTTTTTATACACATTTTTCCATAAAAAGTTAAAAAGTTAA